GAGAGAGAGAGAGAGAAGGAAAAAAAGTGAAGGAAGCGGTCTTGGCTTTCGGGCACAGATGCCGCACTTTAATGTCAGATTACATGGATTCCAGATAGTGGTTCTTGGAGGCAGAATAAAGTCTCATGTATCAACCTTACTGCCAGACTGCTGTCACTGACTTTGGGAAAGAAGAAAGAAAAGGTCTTTTCTGTCACGTGCCTGTAATCCTAGCTACTCGGGAGGTTGAGGCAGGAGAATTGCCTGAACCCGGGAGGCGAAGGTTGCAATAAGCCGAGATTGCACCACTGCACTCCAGCCTGGAGAGAGAGCAAGACTCTGTCTCAAAAAAAAACAAGAAAGGTCTTTTCTTAGTTCATTTGGGCCGCTATAACAAAAACGCCATAGACAGGGTGGCTTACCAGCAACAGACGTTTATTGCTCAGTTCTGGCGGCTGAGAGTCCAAGATCAAGGCATGGCAGATTCAGCGTCTGCTGAGGACCTGCTTCCTGCTTCATAGATGGCACCTTCTCTCGGTGTCCTCTCGTGGTGAAAGGGGTGAGGGAGCTCTCTGGGGTCCCTTTTATAAGGGCACTGATTCCATTCTTGAGGCTCCACGCTCCTGACTTCATCCCCTCCTAAAAGCCCTACCTCCTAAAGCCATTACGTTGCAGATGAGGCTTTCAACGTGCAAATTTTGAAGTGACAAAAATATTCCCTCCATAGCAACACCAACTCATTGTGCTTTTTCCCACACTACCTCTAGGTATGGTTTCTAGTGGTAATAATACACGTGTCGTCAAAAATCTTGCAGTCCCTGCAGGCCTCCCTCTAAATGAGACAACATTTGCAGCCTTGCTAAAGAAGCAAGGATACAGCACGGGGCTTATAGGTAAGACACAAGAATCGGTGTGAGTCATTGATCATAAGGTAATAATGTCCTTTGTTCTGCCCTTGATTTATGACTTTCTTGGAAACACTGTATTTCACAATGTCTACGTCCTGGCACAGTGGCCATGCCTATAATCCCAGCACTTTGGGAGGCCAAGGTGGGAGGATCGCTGGAGGCCAGGAGTTTCAGACCAGCCTGGGCAACATAGAAAGTTCCCATCTCTAAAAATGTAAAATTAGCTGGGCACGGTGGCACGCACCTATGGTCCCAGGCACTTGGGAGACTAAGGTGGGAGGATTGCTTGTGCCAGGAGTTGTTTTTTTTTTTTTTTTTTTTTTTTTTTTTTTTTTTTTTTTAAGACAGAATCTCGTTGTGTTTCTGTGTGTACGATCTCAGCTCACTGCAGCCTCCACCTCCCGGGTTCAAGGGATTCCCGTTCCTCAGCCTCCTGAGTAGCTGGGACTACAGGCATGTGACACCACAACTGACTAAATTTCCTATTTTTGGTAGAGATGGGGTTTCATCATGTTGGCCAGGCTGGTCTCAAACTCCTGGCCTCCAGTGATCTGCCCACCTTGGCCTCCCAGTGCTGGGATTATGGGAGTTAACCAGCACACTCAGTCTGATTCTTCATACAGCCCAGTGATAGGAGGTGTTTTAAAATGAATGTATTACAAGAATATAAAATTTGTCTGGCTCTGCATGCCCGCATAGTCTCTCACCATGTATCCCATCACCTGCCTCTTCATTTCGTTAAAACTGGAACACATAGATTTTTTTCTCACTGCCAAAGATGATAAGAGTCCTCAGCCACCCAGCAGTTGGAGCTTCAACTACTACTCCTGTTTGGGAAGCCTGGATTTCAGCTGCCATGAGAATAAGATGCTATTTTAAATCCCTTCATTTTTCGTGACACATCTGCTGTTGATAAGGGAAGGCGGTCTCCCTGGGCTGCAGTGGGAGCATTGCCTCTCCTCTACCTACCCCGCAGGGACTGAGTTTGGTGAAAGCACAGGCATTCTTGATGGGGTCCTTATCACATACAGGAAGCAGTTAATATTCCTAGTAGATATACATTATCGCAGCCTCGGAGGGTTTGCTGAGCATCCACATGCTAGCAGGACTCACACACACTCTTTGGTGATCATTCAATGTGGTACATTTTACTGAATAAATCCCTTACTTCAGTTTTTAACAAGCGCCCCTAGGAGTTTCAGCCAGCCAGCTATTCATCTATCCACGCCGGGTCCATCCTCCATGATTTATCTATAGCTATCATTGGTCATCTCTCTGCCTCTCTTTCTCCATCCATCCATCCACCCATATATCTCTATGCATCCATCTATCTACGTGTCTATTAATCGATCCATCTTCTATCATTTATCTATCATCTGTATATCTATCTGCCCATCATCTATCTATTCATCATCTATAATTTATTTATTCATCCACCCATTTATCTATCATATATCTATCTATCCATCATCTATCCATCCATCCATGTATCCATCATATCTATCTATGTATTCATCTATCCACCCATATATCTCCACCTACCTATCCATCTCTTCACCTACTGAGCCACCCACCCATGTGTCCATCCATTCACCTACACATACATACATGCCCCATGTATCCATCCATCATTTGTTTCTCTCATATTTATCACATCTATCTCTCTACTGATATTACATACACATATGTATACATAGATGTATACTCCATAATTTATTTTTATCCATCATACTCTATCTGTCTGTTCATCTCCCACAACACAGGTCTATTCATGCATCTGTCTAATCACCCACTCATCTATCATTCCATCCATCCACATACATCTATACATGCTCCATCTAGCCTTCGTCATTTATTTGAATCTGTCCTCTCCTACCCTCTCCTCTATTCTATCTATCTATTTACCTACCTGCCTATCTACCTACCTTTGTATCTATTTATATATTGATCCATCCATGCAAACACTCACTCTATCTCTATCATCTGTCTGCCTACCTTTCTCTCTGCATATTATCTATCTGTCTGTCTGTCTGTCTATCTATGTATCATCCGTATATATCTATGTATGCACCTATCCTTTCATCATATGTAACCTGCCTTGTCTCTATGATGTATCTGTCTTTGTGGATATGGCTTTGTCTTCTCAGTGAATGGGAAAATGTCTAGTTCACGTCCTTGAAAGAAGATCATGATTTTGTTTTTCTCCCTTATTTTTTATCCTGTCCTGTTGCTCACAACTGGGCCTAAATTAAAACTTCCTCTATGAACTAAAGAAGAACAAAAAAAAACGTGGCTAAGTGGAACTTGGATATTTTACACCAAGGAAATATCTCTGCCACTTTATTTGTGTGCCTTAGCTGGTTGTTTCCCGTGAAGAATGGTCACACGTTCTTTGCAATGTGCTGGCGTATGTTGACATATTGATGTGCAGATGTGTTTGTGTGTTTGGTTTTAGGCAAATGGCACCAAGGCCTGAACTGTGACTCCCGAAGTGACCACTGCCACCATCCATATAATTATGGGTTTGACTACTACTATGGCATGCCATACACTCTCATTGACAGCTGCTGGCCGGCCCCCTCTCGTAGCATGGAAATAGCCTTTGAGAGTCGGCTCTGGCTCTGCATACAGCTGGTTGCCATTGCTGTACTCACACTAACCTTTGGGAAACTGAGCGGCTGGGTCTCCGTTCCCTGGCTCCTGATCTTCTCCATGATTCTATTTATTTTCCTCTTGGGCTATGCTTGGCTCTCTAGCTACACGTCCCGTTTATACTGGGACTGCCTCCTCATGCGGGAGCACGAGATCACAGAGCAGCCCATGAAGGCCGAACGAGCTGGATCCATTATGGTGAAGGAGGCGATTTCCTTTTTAGAAAGGTAAATGTAATAATTAAAAATACATGTAATAATGATAATGATCTCTTTTTTAAAAGGACTTACATAGATCAGTAGAGTGATTGTAGTTGATAATAATCTATTTTACAATTATAAATAGCTAAAAAAGAATAATTCAAATGGCACTAGCATAAAGAAAACACAAATATTTAAGGTGATGGACAACCCAATTATACTGATTTGAAATAATAAACCATTTTTAATAATTCTTTACAAATTATATGAATGTATTAAATCACAACACGTACCCTAAAACTATGCACATCTTTAATGCATTAATAAAAATAATAGGGGATGATGGTATAAAAATATTGAGTTAGGAAATGGAATGTTGCTAAATGGTGTAAAAAGTGTATTGAATACCAGCTGGACTCTTCAGTTGGTACCTAAAGAGATAGTGCCTTGCTTGGGTTTCCGTTACTAAAATCATGGTCTCTCTGTTGGCTCTGAAATTTGTATGTGGTCAGACCATGGAGGCAGACCCTAGTAACTCAAACTCACAAAATTTTTATGTGAATTTACAATGCACCTTGTCATCGTGTTAATTTACAACAGGAAATATATACATATACAATATATATCTATATATACATACAATATATATGCATATATACCTATACATATACTATATATGTGTATATATAATATATTTTATAATATTTTTTTGGTTCCCTGATATCTATAGATAGATATAGATATAGATAAATTTATAGATATTAGGGAATCAGACAAAAAAAGTAAGTTGTCCTTTGCATTATGTCCCTGTCGTTAAAAAATCAAAAACACCTACTTGGGGAAATGGAAATCAGAAGGCTTCTCTTTGAGTATGTGATATGTAAGGGCTATTTCATGAATTGGACGAGGTTAATGGTCAAAGGTGATTGTTATAAAAACTTTATGCCTCCAGAACAGAATGGCTGGAAATTTTCAAGGGTATCCTCTCGTTGTTGGACCTTCTTTCTTTAAAAAAAAGTCGGTGGACACATTTTTCATTTGTTTTTTCCATATTGATTGAGGCTTAATCTTTACCAATAGCCATTCTAGGATCTGGATTTTCAGGATGTAAGGTATCTTGTGCACTCTGGTACACAGCTTTGTCCTTACTCTGTAGTCCAAGTGAAGGTAATAAAAATGTAGTCTGGCGTTGGGCGCGGTTGCTCACACCTGTAATCCCAGCACTCTGGGAGACCGAGGCGAGTGAATCATCTGAGGCCAGCCTGACCAACATGGTGAAACCTTGTCTCTATTAAAAACACAAACATTAGCTGGGAGGCTGAGGCAGGAGAAACGCTTGAACCGGGGAGACGCAGGTTGCAGTGAGCTGAGATCACACCATTGCACTCCAGCCTGGGCAGCAGAGGGAGACTCTGTCTTAAAAAAAAAAAGTTGTCTGGGAGTAATAAGTCCATATTTGCTCTGTAGATGAAACTGAATGCTTGGTGTCACTTAGGGAAAATTCTTTTTTCCCTGGTACATTTCCAAATGGGCAAAGTTCTATGAATTTTCACAGAAAGAACATCAATATGCTGCAAGTTAGCACCAACCACTCTGAAAGTGTAAGATAAGCAATCCTATTCTCTTTTGTCTGCCAGTTTGAGTCTTCAAACATTCTCACACATTTCACCTATGACTCTATGTTAGTGCTTGAAGAACAGATCCTATTGTTCACCAAAGCCTCTGTCGAGTTTCAGAAGTTTCATATGATCCACAGTAACATGATATTGAGTGGAAAAAACCATGGTGAACAGGAAATGCAAAGACTTGGACAATGTGACAATAAGCTCATGGCTTAGGCTCATGAACACTAGAAACTATTTTTATCTGGATTCTCAGTGTATGAATCTCCTACAGTTACTATAACAAATCACTATAGGGCTGAGTACAGTGGCTCGCACCTGTCATTCCAGCACTTTGGAAGGCTGAGATAAGTGGATCACTTGAGTCCTGTTGAGCTTGAGACCAGTCAAGACAACACAGGGAGACCATATCTCTACAAAAAAAATAATAAATAAAAATAGCTGGATATGGTGGCATGCATCTGTAGTCACAGCTGCCCAGGAGGCTGAAGTGTGAGGATTAACTGAGCTGGGGATTTTGGGGCTGTAGTGAACCGTGATTGCACCACTGCACTCTAGTCTGGGCAACAGAGTGAGGTCCTGTCTCAAAAAAAAGTACCACAAAAGTAGTGGCCTAATGCAACACGAATGTATTATCCTACTGTTCTTGATGCCAAAAATCCAAAATTAACCTCGTGAGCTAAAATCATGACGTTGGCGGGGCTAGTTACTTCTGGGGATTCTAGGGGAGAATCTGTTTTCTGTCTCCTCTAGTTTCCTGAAGCTGCCTGCATTCCTTAGTTTGTAAGGTTTTGTTTTCTGACTCAGACCCCTCTGTGTCTCTCTTATGAAAGGACCTTTCTGATTCCACTGGATCCACCCAGATAATCCAGATAATCACCTCATCTCACAATCATTAATTCATTCCCATCTGCAAAAACTTTTACCATATAATATCACATATTCACAGGTTTTGGGAATTAGGGTGTAGCTGTCTTTCAAATGGGACATTATTCAGGTGATCACTTTGACCATGACTCTTTATTCTGGCAGCTTAGTTTGGGTTGCAAACTATTTAATTTTAAATCTTTAATGTTCAGAGTTGTGCTTCCTCTGTAGGCTCTGAGGAGGATTCTTCCTGCCCCTCCCCACTCCTGGTGGCTCCAGGCATCCCTGGGCTTGTGGCTCCATCACTCCAGTCTGTGCTTCATCTGCATATGGCCTTTCCCTCTGTGTCTGTGTCTCGTCTTAAGTCTCTTATAAGGACAATGGTCATTGGATTTAGTGCCCATCCTAATTCCAGGGTGACCTCATCTTCAGTTCCTTAACTAATGACCTCTGCAAAGGTCCTTATATCCAAATAAGGTCTCATTTCAAGTTCTGGGCTTTAAATATGTGGACCTATCTTTCTGGAGGCTACTATTCAATCTACTACAATTGTATCCAGGTTCTTCTGGAGGTTCTAGGGGAGGATCCTTTCTGCCTCCTCCAGCTCCTGGTGGCTCCAGACGTCCTTTGCCTGGTGGTCACATTACTCCATTTCCACATGGCCTTTACTTCTGTGCTTGTGTCTCCTCTTCTCTTACAGGGACAACCTTACTGAATTTGGGATTCATCCTAATCTAAAATGATCGCCTCTTAACTAATTAAATCTCCAGAGGCCCCATTTCCAAATAAGGTCCCATTCTGAGGTTTCAAGTGAACATGAATTCTGAGGGGTCACTGTTCAAGACACCATGATGCAAGTCTTGTTTTTTAAATTCATTTATTTTTCTTTTTTTATATTTTGATATCCCATCAGAGCAAAAATTTCCCAACAAATGGCATTTGTGGTGTGTGCTTCCCTGGGTAGCTGGGGACTTACCATTCATGCAGATGGATTATCAAAATTAGAAGTGGGTCAGCCTAGTTCCCTGTATCCTTACGTGAGAACCTACAGTGTGCAAATGCCAAGGCATTCCTGTTTGTACTAGCCTATGGCTCATGAAACTCTTGATCTTGCTAAGAAATGACTTCCATACCACTATCTCTTGATGTCTCTCAGGGTGTGACTATAGTTTGAGGCTTCATGAACAGTGAGAACATCAATCAAACAGAGCTATATTTGACTTTTTGCACTCTCATGATATGGGAGGTCTGTGTTGGCTTGCAGTATATTCTACAGCTGTCCTGGCATCTGAGAATCAAAAGAACTGTGATGGTGTCACAGGACTACCAGGTTCATATGCCTGCTGCACAGTAACATACCAATACACTGAGATAGCAGGGTTTACAGCAGAGAAAGAGTTTAATAATTTCAGGACAATTAGTGCAAACATGAGAGGAGACCTCAAATCCATCTTTTTTTTTTTTTTCTTTTTTTGAGGCAGAGTCTCACTCTATTGCCCAGGCTGGAGTGCAGTGGTGCAATCTCAGCTCACTGCAACTTCTGCCTCCTAGGTTCAGCAATTCTCCCACCTCAGCCTCCCCAGTAGTTGGGATTATAGGAGCCCACCATCATGCCTGACTACTTTTTATACTTTTAGTAGAGACAGGATTTCACCATGTTGGCCAGGCTGGTCTCGAACTACTAACCTCGGGTGACCTGCCTGCTTCAGTCTCCCAAAGTTCTGTGATTACATGTGTGTGCCACTGTGCCTGGTCTCAAATCTATCTTTCCAAGGAGTTCTGGGCTGGGTTTTTTAGGGAAATCATGGAGAGTCTTGGGGTCACTGATAGGTTGGGGTAAGAGGGAATGAAATCATCAGAATATGGAAATGGCATGCTTTGTTACGTCAGCTTCTCATAGGGTCCCTTAGAGCACCTGACATCAGTAGTTTCCCTGGTATGCAGGACCTGAAAGGTTACCGCAAATGGAAAACTTAACATATCATAATGTTATGTTATCATACTGTAACAGGGTCTATGTGATTCTAGGACAAATAGGTACCAAACTAGTAGGAAGACATAGATTAGAGAGCAAACCGACCTCAGGGTCAAAGATGAGTATGCTGCAAACTTAGTTCATTTTGTTTCTCCCCCTCCCTTCCTCTCTGATTGACTTTATGAAGTTTATAGAGACTGTTTCAGTAGCATCACCAAAGGGACTGGGGAGCAGTTGAGGTGCTAGAGGATCTTGGAATCCATCTCATGCAGGATGGAGCCCTTGGGTGGACCCACTCTGTCTTCTGCAGCATGGAGAAGAAGGAAAGATGTCATGTTTGTGAGAAGCCAAAACACATTGTTTTTCACATTCATAGATGTTGAAAATTCACAAGTAGTGTCACTGATGTCTTCTCAGGTACCGTAAGGGACCTTTCCTCCTCTTCTTCTCCTTTCTTCACGTACACGTACCTCTCCCCACCACGGACGATTTCATTGGCACCAGCAAGCATGGCTTATATGGGGACAATGTGGAAGAGATGGACTTCATGGTGGGTAAGTCACAGGACCTAAGTGGACAGAAACTTACGTGTTCTGATAGTACAGGACACCTGAAAACTGCTCTTGGTCAACCTGGAGAGTGAATAGAATTATGCCCATGGGGCAGGGTTGATCTGAGACGTAAATGAGCTCACAGTTGCAAGCAATTGAGAAAGTCAGCAAAATACCATATGCATTTCCTCTCCTTTCTTTGCATGCCATCGCTTATTAACTGGGGTCTTTGTCTACTTGACTGCATCTCCAGTGCTGGTCAGACCACAAATTAGACCTTCTTTTCAAAATTTTCAACTTTTATTTTAGATTCAGGGAGTACATGTGCAGATTTGTTACCTGGGTGTATTATGTGATGCTGAGGTTTAAGGTATGATCAAACCCTTCACCCAGTCACTAAGCATAGCACCCAATAGTTAGTTTTTCAACCCTTGCTCCCTCCTTCCTTCACCCCTCTAGAAGTCTGCAGTATCTATTGTTCTGATCTGTGTGTTCATGTATACTTGATGCCACACTCCCACTTATTCTGTTTTGTTTTTAAAAATAAATTTTATTGTGTATATTTAAGATTCACAAGGTGATGTTAGAAGATATATGTAGATGGCAAAATGATTACTACAGTGAAGCAGATGCTTAAGTAATAGTAATACAGTAAGCAAACGTATCTGTCATCTCACATAGTTACTTTTTTGTGACAGGATCAGCTAAAATCTATTTAACAAAAATCCAGCTGAACACAGCGGCTCAGGTCTGTAATCCCAGCACTTTGGGAGGCTGAGGCAGGAGGATCATTTGAGCCCAGGAGTTTGAGACCAGCCTGGGCAACATAGTGAGACCCTGTCTCTATAAAAATGCAAAAATTAGCTGGGTGTGATGGCATGCACCTGTAGTCCCAGGTACTCAGGAGACTAAAGCAGGAGGATTGCTTGAGCCCATAAACTGAGGCTGCAGTGAGCCACGATCGTGCCACTGCACTCCAGCCTGGGTGACAGTAGCTCTCACTTATAAGTGAGAACGTGCAGTATTTGGTTTTCTATTGTCCACCACCTGCATCTATGTTACTGCAAAGGATATGATCTTGTTCCTTTTTATGGCCGTGTAGTATTCCATGGTGTATATGTGCCACATTTTCTTTATCCAGTCCACTGTTGATAGGTGCCTAGGTTGATTTACGTCTTTGCTGTTGTGAATACTGCTGTGATGAACATATGAATTCACAT